TGTTTCAAGCTTTAGTTTTGTTGTCATTATGGGGGGTTAAAGTTGATTAGAGCGACACCGGTTAGGATCCCAAGGTTCCCTCGTTCCGGTACCACTATTTTCATTTGAACTTACTTAGCTTAAACGAGTTGTGTAACCCATTTAAACCGGACAGATTTCGTTAGCAACTGTGGGTTAACTGCTCCGAGGGACTCCCGTAAATCTAAAAGAAATGTGTTATGTTTTTTTCTGTTTTGAAAATGTTGTTTAATTTTTTTAAAAAATGTTTTGTTTTGAAAATAAAATTGTAATCAACACCTGCATAATGTGTTAGAGCATGAGTAAATCACAATGGTAAAACAACAACAAATAAAATGTGTCTGTGTACAATTAAAATGTGTCTGTGTACATGACGTATCTGCTGCTGTTATTCCTGTTGCATGTTTAGCTCACAAAACATAATATGCAGGAAATTTACATAAATTGCAGAGAAAAACAGAAAACGGTAAACAATAGAACAAGTCGTGACAACAACTAGAAACTCCAAATTAGTGGTCCTAAGGTTTCCTATAAATCCTGACTGCAACTAGCGAGCTGGTATGGTGATTCTACGATCTCCTACGGCTCTGTGCAACAACTAGCAAGTGTATACGATAATCCTACGACTTCGAATAACAGCTAGGAACTTCAAATAACACCTGTATGACTTCTTACGAACCCAAACAACAATGGACAACACTTAGGTGGCTTCCTACAGACTCAAACAACGGTGGACAACACCTATGTGGCTTCCTACGAACCCAACCCAATGTGAACAACACCTATGTGGCTTCCTACGAACCCGAACAATAGTGAACAACATCTATGTGGCTTTCTACGAACCCGAATAATAGTGGACAACACCTATGTGGCTTCCCACGAACCCAAACCATAGTGTGCAGCACTTGGGTGGCTTCCTACGAACCCAAACCATAGTGGACAACACTTAGATTACTTCCTACGACACCGGACAACGGCTATAAAACCGAAACGACACCCACCCTACAACTCTCCTATAGCTCTTCCAACACCTATATGATAATGGACAACACCTCTACAATGATTAACAACTTCCAAATAGCCACTTACAGTAATGAACAGCTTCCAAACAACCATTTACAGCAAATGACAACTTCCAAACAATACTCGCAGCAATTCGAAACCTCGAACAACACTTTTATAGTGATTATAAGCTTCCAATCAGACAATTACAACAAAGATCAGCTTCAAATCAGCACTTCTACAGTTCTTAATGAATCTAAACAATAATTTTGAAGTTCCAAACAACAGCCTACAGTGATTGGCAACCTCAAACAACACACATACAACGACCTTTAAGCTTCCCACGACACTCTATAGTGATTGACAGCCTCAAACAACACATATACAATGACTAAGTTGTTCAAGATCGATTAGTAAAAGCACCTTGAAACAGTGATCAAGTTGTCAAATGAATAAAATTGTACATCAGACTAATACTTGCATCTTTTTTAACTAAGACATAATTTCGGTTAACACGATTCAATGAAAAAAAAAAAAAACTATTCGGAGATCTCCAAAAATCAGTCCCTATAATTGGGAGAGCTACTAACATAACAAATGTAAGTAGGTAAATAAATTATGAAGTGTCTACAACATAAATTAAGCTCAGCCGTCATGGGATCAAATCTTATAGATGAAAGAATGCATGAGACAACTTTAAACCAAATTGAATCTACATAAATAGAACTAATTCAATTCCTCAGACAGTTTCCTTCCAATTTTCAACATCTTCAATTAAAAATTTATAAAAAAAAGAGTTAAGCGAGGAGATCGACCTGTACCGACGAATCTCAAAAATTTTTGGTAGGAAAAGGATTCCTGTTGAGCGAGAGAGTGCGGGAGAAAACTGGCTTCGACACAAGGAGAAGTCTTGTCGAACGAGGGTTTCTGAAGAGGGAGTCGCTCGAGCGAGGGAGGCGAGCAGGAGCTTTGATCTGGAGTGTGAGGCGAGCGGGATCGAGTAGAGGAGCTGGAGGCTGGTATCGAATAGAGCTTCTTTTGCATCTGGAAGAGAAAGGCAAGCAGGTGGGGTTCGGTGCAGAGGAGGAAGGAATCGAGTGGATCTCTCGAGAGCGGGGCTGTGAACGAAGGGATGATTGAATCGAGCAGAGCCGAATGGGGGTCTATATGTTGAGGAGAGTGGGTATGCGGGATCGAGCAAAGGAAGAGACAAGCAGGTGAGGGGCTTGGCGCAGGAAGGAAGCGAGCTGGCTTGACGCAGAGAGGAGACGAGCAGGAGAAAGCCTCGGTGCAGGGAAGAGCGAAGCAGGTGAGCGGGGTTGTTTGGTCGAACGAGGAAGCGAGCAGGCGAGTGGGGGTCTTCGGCTAGAGTTGCGATCGAGTCGCAGAGGAGCAGGTGAGCGGAGAAAGAAAAAAGGGGAAGCGAGAGAGAGAGCTGGCGAGCGGGCTCGGTGCAGAGGCGAGCGGGAGAGCTGAATCGTGCCGAGAGGGGAGGAAGAGGCGAGCGTCTCTCCTTATAATAAGAGCGGGGTTGAATTAATCAAAGGAGCGGGTTCGAGCCGTTACCTGAAGCAATTGGGGGGGGGGGGGGGGGGGCTTCCATTCATGCAACAAGCTCAATTGGAAAATTCTAACTCTCAATTAAGGTGAGATTAAATGTCATATTTGAAATTCAAAAAATTTAAAATTCAAAATGTTTAACCCTTGCTCAGCTCGAGTCCAGACCGAATCAAATCCGAGTTAAACCTGGATTGAGCCCGGGCCCACGCCCCGCTAAAAAAAAAATTGCATCGATTTTCGTGTTAATGGCTTGCGCGCGAAACCATTACAATATGAGTGTCATTCCTAGCTAAAGTCGACGTTTCGAACACGCCTGCGCTGTCTGTTTCGTCATCCGGGGTCGTTCGGAAGAGTACGCCGACAGGCGAGCCAAAAATGTGTCAACTTCGTGCGTGAATTGCGGCGTTATCGAGCGTTTGGGTCGCAAGAGTTTCCCTAGAGGCTGCTCCTATTAATATAGAAACTCGACTCGAGTTTCATATGTCGGTTCTAATCAACTCAGCAAGATGCCGAGGATTTGGGACCGCCTATGCGAAACTCGGAGGAGTGACGAGGTGGATCAAATTTTTTAAATGGTGTGGGTCTGGTACCGATCCTCTAAGAGGGTCAAACAAAGAAAATCTAAGGCTAGACCCTAAGCTCTAAGGAGAGAAGTAAAGACCTCACCCAAAAATGAGGTCAACAACCACCCTAGCTTTTTTTGAGAATCTTCTGCTGGCAAATTTGTTGCTTCCCTGTTCTAGGTACAACTTGCGCCATTTCAGTCTGTAATCGTTTGCTTACTTTGCTTGGTTGTAGCTTCCCTTTGAATTGAATAATTGCAGCTGGAAGTTACTTTCTGGAAGTTACTTTCGTATGATATATGGATCATTTGTAGCTTAGGGTTTATTTTTTTGCTCTGTCTCTGTGTATGTTGCCATGAGGAACTTCATGCTTGAAGTTTCATTTTGATTTAGACATATGCTCTGCTATTAATTTTTCCAAGTTATGTTCTTTCTTATAAATGTTAAATTTTTTTACATTTACCATCTATGTATATGATAAAATTTATAGGAAAATTATACTATTACTTGTGATAATTAATAAATTTTTTTATTGGAATAGGATTGTAGGCAACTAATGAAAATGTAGTATAAAAAGTAAGTGTCATTACACATGTCATAAAAAATTCACATGTATTGTGAGCATAAGCTTTAATATTGTTATATTAATTTATAAATAATAGTAATAAAATAATAATAATAATATGATATATTAATCCACATATTTTATTACAAGTATTTAAATAAATATTATACATAATTCATCTATATTTATTTTAAAGACAACCATACAAGTTCTACTTTTTTACAAATACTGTTTTTACATTACACGCATAAAATCAAATAAAAAAATAAATTTCCTTTATTTTTTTTAACAGGCAACTAAACAGTCTACTAGATGTATAATACACTGCAATTATAATAAAATGCATTCTATTTTACTCTGCATTCTTTTTACAAACAACCGAACAATCCCTTAGGTGTTATCATTATTCATAGGCAAGCAGAGCTTTTTACTTTTTTATGACGGTACTTGCTTACTCGTTATTTTTCTTTTTAGTGTCTATTAACCTAATATTTGGACCATAAAATATTGTACACTTAAGTTTGTTTACACTTATCTTACTTGATCTTGTTATTGTATAATTATGCTTATTTGTTGCTTATATTTGGCTATTTGTATCCTGTATGTCAATGGAGAATTTTATCTTATTTTGTCCTGTCAATTAAATTGTCTTGGAATCATGCTTTTCTTGGCTAATACATAAAATAACTACTACTTGTAGTTTTCAGCATTTATATCTTTTAATGTAATTTATCTTTGTATTTCTGATATTGTTGATTTCAACCCTGGGAAAATATTCATTCTTATGATTTTATTTAAATTTAAGGTAAGAGACTATTTTATTTACAGACTTTGGTATGTTATTAGCTAATGGTTTTTATTAAGTATGCTGACATCTCTTTATAAATTTTTTCTAAACGAGCGTTAAGTCATATTTTGTTGCCATCTTTAGGTAACAGGTTGTTCTTTAAGCTTCACTCAAGCAGAGGCCTTGCATTTAGTAATAGTAGCGCTAATTGAATGTACTGCTTCCTAGATAGCATTTCAGATGCAATGTACTGAACTACAGATAACTTGCATGGAAGTAGCAGATACTAGATATTTCTTTCCGTTCCTCTTTATTATAAAAACAATGCTTCTTTAAATGCTATTGTTGTTATTCTATGAAAATCATTCCAATAAAGAATCTGCCTTAGTAATTCATTGATTTTGCTAAACCTAAATTATTTTCCTATTACATGGCAGATTAATTTACTTTTCGCGTCATTTTTTCATATTCGGCACATTTCTTAGTTGGTAAATTTTTTTGTCAGAGCTCAAGAAGTCCCTAAATGCGGTTTTTTCTCAATTTGGAAAAATATTGGAAGTGCTTGCCTTTAAAACTCTGAAACACAAAGGTCAAGCATGGGTTGTCTTTGAAGATGTTGCATCAGCTATGGAGGCACTTAAGCGAATGCAAGGATTTCCTTTCTATGACAAACCTATGGTAAGTGCAGGGATTCAATTTTATTGTTATGGATCTAAAGTGTTGCTAAGATTTGAAGTTTCTCAACTAGTATCTTCTTCCTAATAATTAAACTTTATAACTGTTTCATAGTTTTTTTTTTAGTACTTGTATTGTTATTCCATTTGACGATCCCTGTTTGCATAGGTTACTTTATGATTTAGGAGCCAACTTTTGATACATGTACCCTATTTTGTTGTTACATTGTGTAGTGAATTCAATTTACCATTTTTGTTAGTATAGGCTAATCAGGGTTCAAGACTTGCAGACTTTGTTTTCCTTGTTCTATATACCACAAAGTATTGTGTTCTTTGCTGGTCTTTTTATAACCTATTATTTTTATGCTGACCAAGCGAGAGATGCTTTCATGTCATAGTTTATTATGTATCAAGCATAGAATGGTAGACATTTTATGTTCTTGTAATATTATTTCAACTTTTATTTTTTATTCTATTATTGTGCATTTCCTTAAAAAAATTGCATATGATTCTTCAATATTTTAGCGCACAAACATGTTCATGGTTTTCACTTAGGCAAATCACTAATATCATCATTATTATTAGGGGTATCAAAACATGATTTCACTCATAAGCCGGCCCAAATTTGACTCAATAAATTCAGGTTTTGGTTGACCCATTTACTCTTTAGGTTAAATTATGATCAAACATCCTGATTACTGTTTAAGTAGGAATTGGGTTGATTCGAATGATCCAAAATTTGATTACTACTTAAATTTGGGTTTTGCTTGTTTTGGTGAGGTTAATTGAGTTAAATATGTCATGTTTAGGTTAATTTGATCATGCTAATCCCAATAAAGTACATGATCGTTATAATAAACATGTTATATTGGTTAGGTTTTGGCTTGATTCTTGTTGAGTTGGGATTAGGTGAAATATTTGGGCCCATTTAACAAACAAGTTGAGTTCTAGTCAAGCATATTTGGGTTGGGTCAACTTCATACTAGACCCAAACCTGACTTGTCAACTTATATTGACACCCCTAATTATCTTTATCTAATACCAACTATGGTCCTCTTTATAAATCCTCGTCTTCCAATTATTCGTTCCCTATATGTGGGGTGCGAACGGTTTCTTTTTGTGCAACATGTAGTTATCCCCTGTCCTTCTTTTTAATCCTTACACATGAGCTCTTTCAATTTATCTAAATCTTCTATTGCATGCATTTTTTGTTGTTTGCATTTTGCATATCATATTGTTTCTATGAGATTGTAGTTGATTAAGAGAGGCTCTGTGCTACAAGGAGGTCGAGAAGATCTGGGAGTTATGTGAGATAATAGGAGAAGAATGACATCGCTAGCGATTTTCATCAAATTAGCAATGTAAAGAGTACAATTTTTGTGACCCTAAAGACCCTAGATTGACATCAAAATGATTTCTTAGTTTGCAAATTGTGACTTGTGCTTGGAGTTAGGAGTGTGTAAGTCAGTGAGGCACGCTTTGTGGGCAATGAAATGCAGGGGCCTCACAACAAATGGAATCCTTACCCACCATTAATTGTGTGTTATTGCACAGTGTCACACTTGTCAATTCATTAAGGCTACAAAAAAGTTTGATATTTTGCACCTCTTTGCCTCATGGGCTAGATTGAGTACCGATTTCATTCTAAATTTACTTAGCCTTCCATGTGGCAAGGACTATATTCATAGTGGTAGATTGATTTTCTAAGATGACACAAGTCATACTTTGCTTTAAAACAGCTGATTCCTCACACAGAGTAATGTTTTTGGGTTAAAGAAGATATTTGATTGTATGAATTGCCTAATACTATAGTTTTTAATTGTGATGCATGCTTTGTTTGGCCACTTTGGTATGGATTGCTGGATACCATAGTTTTTAATTTGGATCTGATTTCATTGTCTTTTATTTTATTCTCCAACACAAACAAACCATCAACAAACTATACAAGTGTGCGTGTGTTTGCGATTCACTCAAATTTTTCAAAGAAAAAAAAATCTGTAAATTAAATCCCATAACAAGAGGGGGGATAAATTGAGTGTTAAGTGATATGTTGGGAATTTTCTAAAATGTTTCTCAACTTGATGCTGTTTTATATGAGATGAAATATAAAAGCTAAATATCTAATCAATGAAAGAAAGCAATATATCAAATAAATAAACAAATAAATATATAAAATAAGATAAATAAATTAAAAAAAAATAGTTGAATTTATTGATTGGATGCACAATTATGTGTACGAGTGTAGGAGAGAATAATATATGATGTGATATATTAAAATGTGAGTAATCTAGATTATGTACAATAATACTGACATATTATCAAACTTTAACCACACATGGTTGTATTATGTTAAACTAATTTTTCACAAGTGTCGTCACAAATGTGATGTTGAATGAATTAAACTATTGAAAGTGTCACAATAAATAATTACTTATAACAAATACAATTTTGGTGAGAAGGTTTGGATCATGTTGAAGCAACACAATCCTAATCAGTTTCTTTTTTTTTGATTGTCAAGTAAGCAAGTGTAAATCAGGTCTGACATGCTATGCCAACATTTAGGAACATTTTACAAGCCACATTAAATTACACTTCAAACAAATTTTGTAATTATCAATTCAAGAGTGAGTCACATGGGCTTATGGTATTGACGAATTCTCTTCTCCACTGTCTTATTATAGTAACAATCCACTAAATTCAATTCTTGCAATAGTTAAACTCCTTTGATTCCCATCATTCTCTGCATTACTTTTATTTTCTAAAAAAATTATTCATTCTTCTATATTTATTTTATTTTACCACCATCAACATAATTGTTATTATATTTAAATTATCACATACGTTAACTTATTTATATTTGAAAATGCATTCTTTATTATTATAATATGTTTTCATTATTGAATGTATTCAAGCTTTTCATTATTGAATGCATTCTTTCTTTTTTTAAAATAAAAGTACAAATATGCTTTTATTTATGTAAAGTTCAATAAAGCTGCTGTCTTTTTTCTTTGAACCCTTTTTCCTTTTTAACATGGTATTAGAGCCATGGCCTGAAATTATACTAATCTTCTGTAATCGCCTTTTCGTTGGGATCACACTTGAACTTTCAATTTCCATTAAACTACCTCATTTTTCTTGCTTACAACCCGTCTATACTTCACCAGCTTCTCCCTTCATAAGATTCTCACCTTTAATATTAACTACTACGGCACATTCTCTCATTGGTATGTACACTTATATAATCTACCTCTATCCAACTGTGATTACATCATTGTATGTTGCCCTCGTTGCATCAATCTTTGACTCGAAAATTTCAATCAATGATTTTTGTCATAACACTTCAATAATAACTTTATCTAGGCTCTTCGTTGATTCATTTGCTTAAGAATTTAACTATGCCTTCTCGGATACATATCACATTGTTGGCTCTTTATATTCAATTAACAATACTCTCTCTTTCACTTATTTGTTTCACTTCTCTAACATAACTTATAACCTATAGCAACAAAACTGTTTACCACATCTTCATTCTCTATTATTTCTGAGCTAAAGTTGGCATCTTCTATGCCATCTTCGATTTTTCGGGGATTATTTCCACATTTAAATTATCTCATGATTTAAGTTATTCATAGTAGGATTATAAATTATTATTGTTGTACATTTTTATATTATTGAGGATATTTTCTTTTATTATATATTTTTTAATTGTATTCTTTTGATTACATATAGACATATTTTCGTTATAGCTTGGGAATTTTGTAAAGGCAAAATCTTTTCCAGTTCTCTCTTATTTGATTACAATATTAGCCTCTTTTGAAATATCTGGGGCTGGATTTATGAATTCTAATTTTCCATTCATTCCACTCACTCATTTTAGATTTTATGCATTCAATTAGGTAAATTTTTTAGAAAAACTTGACGTACTTGCTTTAAATAATGTCTTGTTTTAATCTTTTGATACTTACAAAAGTAAAAGCCCATTGTATGTTTTCTTGATTATGCGTGCAATGAGTTTTCAGTTTTCAACTTTGATGGTTGTGAACGATGAAATTGTTCTGTTGGTAGCAAGGCCTCATGTGGCATTTGAGAGAGAGGGGAGGGTGCTCGGCAAGGGAGTGGACGACAGTTGAATCCTCAACACGAGATACCTCTAAGTTTGGGGAAGAGGGTGAAAAGAGAAGCTAGACATTAGTTCTTGAGGGTGGAATCAGTCTATTTTATAGTGTTTGACATCTTTAGTGAGAATAAATGGCACTGGCTAGACCATTAATAAGCACCTTAATGTCAAAAACTTGATTCAAATATTCTTGACTGTGGAGCTTGTAGGTAGGTAGATATTGTATGATCACATCCTGTAAAGAATTGACTTGTACTAAGACAATCAGATGAAAACTGAATGTACTTGATCTATTGGGAAGTATCAGTGCGTCATATCAGCTAAGGAGTCTATGAGTGTTGAGATGACTAGATGAGTAATGGTTGTTTTCAGGCTAAATGCTGGAGGAAAGGTCATTAGATGGAGAGCCAATAGGCATCGCTTGATGTGTTGGTTGGAAGACAATGCACTAATTATTTGATACCAGAGTTAACCCAAATCATAATAGAAAAAATAAATATTATTACTGAGAGCAAATGTATGGTTACAATAAAAAAACATTTGAAAAGGGAAGTACAACACACATGACACACACTCGCGTTAGGGTGGATCCCGAGTGATTGTGGTGATGGTTAGGGGCTTGGAGAGATGGTAGCAAGGTAAGGAAGGGGTTTTCGAGATGTGCAAGAGGCGAGACAATGATTATGGGCAATTGGAACAATAGGGCAACCGGGGATGGCAGTCCAAACAACAACCGTTTGTTGTTTGGGGCAGCTGGACAATATGTAGGTGGTAGGGAACTGGTTCGAGATAGTTAGGGCAACAATTAGGATGTAGGGAAGAAGTAGGATGTGGGGAAAGAGACCTTGTGAGGCTGGGTTGGTGGCAACAGTGAGGAATGACGGTAA